TTTGCTAGCACAGAGGGAAGCCCAAGTTCTAAGTCCCTACTGTCCCCATGCCGTCGCTAACTATGTCTTTCCCTCCTCTCCCTCAACCAAGACTTACCGGCGAATGGCTTCAGCAGTGGGAACCAGCCGGTGAAGAAGAGCTTCTTGGTGTACCGGAATGACTGCAGCCTTCCCCGGAGCAGCTCGGACTCGGAGTCCAGCAGCAGCAGCAGCAGCAGTGCAGCCTCAGATCGAACCAGGTACTGGCACTCCCATCAGGGCCACCTGTAGGGGGCCCTTCCTTCCAGGCCTCACAGCCTTTCCAGACTGCCCTGCTGGAAGTGGGGGGCAGCCATCTCGGCCTAGATTCAAATGGCTCAAACCTCAAAATGCGCCACAGAGGGACTAGATCAGGACTGGATCACCATAAGGGGACTGAGGGAGCCCTTTTGAGTTAAGCTGAGGGGATAACCTAAGTTGGAGCAGAGGGCCTCTGGCCTGGATCGGCCCGCAGACATTTTGCTTGGCTAGGAAATGCTGTTGGGATGGGGGTAGGGGTGGAGACTCCCAGTTTGCTGTATACTCTGTAAAATGTTATAAGAGTTGTCGATTGTGACCAGCATGGCTGGTCAGCATCAGGTTGAAGCTGAGCAGCGGCTACTCCCCACAGACTCTGCCCTCCTCCTCACCGCACCTTCAGTCAGAGCATTCGCCTGTGCCCTCTCCTCCCCAAACACCTAGGACCCTGGGGGCTTCAAGAGAGGACACCCACTGTGCTGCTCCTCTCCCTACCCCTCCCTTGAGCTGACCTCCCCATGTCTTTTTCACAGCACAACGCCCTCAAAACAGGGCCGGGGCAAGCCCTCCTTCTCGAGGGGCACCTTCCCAGAGGACAGCAGTGAGGATACCTCAGGCACTGAGAATGAGGCCTACTCCGTGGGCACTGGCCGCGGCGTGGGCCACAGCAGTAAGTACCCTCACCCAAGGCCAGGGGTGCCCGGGGCCCAGTGTCAGGGCCTCGCTGGTCCCCCAGCTGCTGACCCGCCCCCTCTCTCCCATTCCTGTGAAGTGGTGAGGAAGAGTCTGGGCCGGGGAACTAGCTGGCTGTCAGAGGACGAAGACTCCCCCCTGGATGCCCTGGACCTTGTGTGGGCCAAATGCCGAGGCTACCCATCGTACCCAGCTCTGGTAGGTTTCCCCACCTTTCCTCACACCCCAGTTGCTTTCACTGCCAGTCCCTCGGGCTCACACTGAGTAGCTCACCCCTTGCCCTATGACACGGCAGAGCCACCGGAGCCCCAGCAGGCTGACTGCTGGGCAGGTGTAGCTGGAGTACCACTTAGTTGGTTCTCCATCTCTGCCTTTTCCGTCCCTGGCTCTTTGGGTTCTGGACCAAGTCGGCATGGGAAGAAGCCAAGGGACGGCACTGTATCCCCAGCAATGTGATAGGACCTTGCCCTGTCCCCGTTTCAGAGGTAGTCTCCAAATTCTTGGGAAGGGCAGGCCTCGGGGAGGAGGAAGTGAACTGAGCCAAACCAGATTTTTGTTACACCCTCAGATCATTGATCCAAAGATGCCCCGGGAGGGTATGTTCCACCATGGGGTTCCCATCCCTGTGCCCCCACTGGAGGTGCTGAAACTTGGGGAGCAGATGACCCAAGAAGCACGTGAGCATCTCTACCTCGTCCTCTTCTTTGACAACAAGCGAACCTGGTAAGGGAGCAAGGGAGCATTTGGTATGACTGATAACCATAGGTGCAACCCTGGGTGGTGGTCAGAAACCCCAGGAGCAGATAGATGGGGCGGGGGTTTATCATGGGTCCAGTGGGAAGGGACTCAGAAGAGAGCTTGAGCTAAAGGATTGTGTTGACCGGGAGTCAGAGAGGTTGTGTGGGCAGCAGCTGACAAAAAGCTGTGGCTGGAAACCAGGAGACCATTGATGACTGACACATGATGGGGTGGCTGCCCTTCCAGATTCAGATGCCTTCAGCGCTTCGTTTTTCCACCACTTCCTTCATGCTGGCAGGATGGGGATAAAGCAGGCCTAAGCATGCCGCCTCTGAACTTCTTTTCTGTTATATGCACATCGTTTCTTTGTTAATGGTCTGATGGTAGATTTAGGTGTGGGTAAAGTACCTGGATCTTGCGGGAGTGTACGAATGGCAGGTTAGGCCAGGGCTCCGCTTTTTAGTGGCCATAGAGACCCTGTGGTCCCCCTTCATCTGATTGCTGGCTGGGCTCTCTTCACTAGTCTGTAAGCAGTTTCTTGAGAGCAGTGATTATCTCTGTTGGTCCCTGGTGGTAACTCTAGTGCCCCCCACAGAATCTGACCCAGTGTTGGTGCTTGGGGGTGGGGGGTGGGAGCGTCAAGGAGCAGGGAAGGCTGGTGCATTTTGCTGTCCATGAGATGATTAACTTGACCCCCACCTCGTCCTTTAGGCAGTGGCTGCCTAGGACCAAGCTGGTTCCTCTCGGAGTAAACCAGGACCTGGACAAGGAGAAGATGCTGGAGGGCCGCAAGTCCAACATCCGCAAGTCGGTGCAGATCGCCTACCACAGGGCTCTGCAGCACCGCAGCAAGGTGCAGGGCGAGCAGAGCAGTGAGACCAGTGACAGCGACTGATGCTTGGCACAGTGCCCTGTGACCCCTTCTCCCCTCTGCTCACTGGCCCAGGGTGGCACCGGCCTCTGCACTGACTCATTCCTGGTCTTGGGGCCAGTCTCAGGGGAAGCTGGGCGGGGTGGTCCGTCCTGCTCTGAGTGCAGCTGGACTGTACAGAACACTCTGAGGGCCCGTGATGGCTCTGGGCAAGTAGAGGGGTCGGCCCACCAGCCAGAAAGAGCCCGAGACCTCGTGGCATTAAAGGGCATGGTGGCGGGTGAAGGTTAGGACACTGCGAAAAACAGGCCATCCCACCACCTCTGTCTACTTATGCCAAGGAGTATCCCTAACTGCCTAGAGGCCTGAGGCCCCTGCAGGTGGTGAGGTGGGCAGGCATCTGCCCAGCCTAGCAGTGGGATTGATGTCAATCCAGCCTGGAAGAGGGGCACTAGGTGACCCCTCCCCTGCTGTTGTATATACTGTAATTAGTGGAGAATTTAAATTATTCTCATTTGTAACTGCGTTTCCGGGTCGCGCCAGAGTCATTTGGTACTAAAAATACCTGGGGCCTGTCCCCACTTCCCTTTTCCTACCCATAGGCCCCCACCCCTTTCAAACTGGTTTGTATTTATTTCCAAGGAAGAAAATATATTGATTCTTAGAAATATTTGGAATTCTTGATTATTGCCTTCTGCCATGGGGAAAGGAATGGGAAGAGAGGTTCAGTCCATCCCCCAGGGATGATAAATAATTGGGCCCAAGTGGTTGCTGGCTGCTGTGCATACTGCATCTTTAGTCAACAGCAAAGATAATGGGGGTAGCTCCCATTCCATCCACTTAACGAGAGCCAACTTTTCTGTGCAAACTTTTCTGCGATCCTTGCAGTGACTATTTTAGAGGGCTTCATAAAAAGCTCATGGGAAAGTGGATTAAAAGATCCTAGAATGTTTCCAAAAGCCTTTTGAAGCCTCCTCATATGAGGAGGCTAATAGTATTGGGTGGTTATCCGGAGGAAGTCCCTGAGGTTTAGAAAAATTCACTTGTCCAGTTCCCACATCTAGGAAGTGGCCAAGTCAGGTTTGTTTGCCGCACTGCCAGAAGTGCCAGCTACAGATCCCTCTGTGGATTTGGGTGTTTCATCTTTGCCAATAGGATACCCACGTGCTTCAGAGGCACTTGCCTGTGACTCTGCCCCACTGTTGTTAGGGGCCTTCGAGTTAGCTCCAGGCTGAGACTCTATGCACGACATAATGAAACACTGCACAAGGTCCTTCGCCACCCTCAAAATTGTTCCTACGCCTGAGCCTGTTGATGCAGCCACGGTGTCAATGCATTTTTATTGAGGGCCTACCTCTTCACTGCCCCTCCACTTTACCAAGCAGGATGTCCTTCTCCAGGGACTGGTCTCCTGACACCGTGTCCAAAGTACGTATGGAAAGACTGAAGAAGCTTGCTTTTTATTCATTCTCAACCTGGGCGCCTTCTAGTGCTAGTTGAACAATTCTTGAAGGAGTGCCCTTCTGAGTGCCAGACAGTGCAGGGTGGTGTGCCAGTGAGGAAAAAGTAATTGTCCAAGGGGACCTTGAGATTACTGAGCGCCAAGACAAACACTGGTCATGTTCACATGCACAGAGGATCCAGAGAGATGCTGGGGGACAAAGGTCAATCTGCGGCCTAACCACTCACACATGGACAGAAAGTCGCTGGCCGAGCCCCCACCCCACGCCAGGGCACCATGCCCACTCAGCGACCCCGCGGGCAGTTCTCCAGGGCTTTTTCAGGGAATAGAAAGCCGGAGCTCCTTGGTGGCAGCAGGTGGAAAACGGCGCGGACGAGCCTGGCCTTCCGTGTGTCCCCGCTTTCTGCGTGGCTCCTGACAGGAAGTCGCGGGCCCAGGCTGCTTCCTCGGAGGCCCGCCCGGAGGTAATGGCTGTTGTTCTGAGGCAGCTCCTCCTCCAGGCCCATTCAGCACGGAGGGATTCCGGGGCGGGTAGGCCTCTGAAGGGGTCCCTGGGGAGGGCAGCCCAGCCCCCACACCCGTCACGAGCGCTCCCAGCAGAGCTGCGGTCGGCCCCATCCTTGGTGGGGAGACTGCGAGGGAGCGGTGCTGGGCCGAGCTTGAGAGAATGGGCCGGGAGCTGGGCTTAGAGTTGAGGCCGGGCACGCACGGCCCACGCCCGGTCCTGTGGGACGCCCCGTCGGGCCGAGGGCCGACGCGCGAGAAGCGACCAGCCAGCCACCAGCGGGCAGCGAGAGCCCACAGCGCGCCAACCGCTTCTGCGCCTGGCGCTCCGCCCACCCCACCCCGCGCCCCGCTCTTCCCTCGGATTGGCCATCTCCGGACCAAGTAGGCGGTATCCGAGGGCCACTTCCGGTGGCGCAGCCGGAAGACGGCGCTGGCGCGCTCGCTGCCCCGCTTCCCCACGGCCCCGCGACGTTGGCTTGCGCTCAGGAGCCGTGGAGGGCGAGGCATGAAACGTGAAAACGAGGGTTGGGACGAGCACTGCCGGGAACACTGGAGGTCCTTGCAAGGAGTGGACTTGTTAAATGGAGTGGGCGGAACCTGCAACATATTGAAGAGCCTGACGGGGCGGGGTCTTGGGTGGCGACTGGCTCCAGTCCTGATGGGCGGGGCCGTCAGGGGGCGGAGCCGCGCGTGTAAAGTTTAGTCTGGTCCCTCGTGCTAAGTAGTATGGCCCATCGCACTCTGGCCTCCACCCCCGCCCTCTGGGCCTCCATCCCCTGTCGACGCTCTGAGCTGCGCCTGGACCTGGTCCTGGTTTCTGGGCAGTCCTTCCGGTGAGTCACTGACCCTGCGAGACACCCCCGCTCCCCCCACCCCGCCTCCTGGAGTGCAAAGGAATGTTGGGGGCGATGACCGCAACCTTGAGATGCTAAAGAGGCAGACAGGCACAGGTGGCAGGTCTGGTACTTCCTTTACAAAGTGGTGCTAGTAAGCCTTCGGTGCAGGGTTGTGCGCTTCAGAGAGAACCAAGGTCAAAGTAGTTTTACTTTGCAATTGGTTAGCTTTTATTCATGGAGTGGTTGACAGGTGCGGGGAGAGGGACCAGTCAGGGTGCAGGCGGGGAAACTGGGTACTAGGATTTTGCGTGGGGCTCAGGTGGAAGGAGCAGAGCCCTGCACACTGGAGTGGCGTGCTGGCGGACCAAGTGTGGACACTGACCCAGACGGAGGAGCAGCTGTACTGCACCGTGTACCGCAGAAACAAGAGTCACGTGGGCAAGCCCACGCCAGAGGAGCTGCAGACCCTGCGCCAGTATTTCCAGCTGGATGTCAGTCTGGCTCAACTGTATAACCATTGGAGCTCCGTGGACCCTCACTTCCAAAAGGTGGCCCAGAAATTCCAAGGTGAGTACATACAAGGCTTAGGGCAGGAGTTTGAGTTCTTTGGCCAGACTCCTCCCTGTGACTCAGTCTCCTTATATGTAAAATGGAGATCCAGGGCCAGTGATGGGTAAGTGGTAGAATTCTCACCGCTCTGTGGGAGGCCTCCGTTTGATTGTGGTCAGTGCTCCGAGTGTATAGCCACCACCTTGTTGCCGGGATGCTGAACGGTTTTAGCAGAGCTTCCAGACTAATTCTAGGAAGACATACCTGGCGATCTAATTGGCCAATGAAAACCCTATGGATCACAATAGTCAAAGGTGAAGCCTATCATGGGGATGGGGCAGGACCAGGTAGCATTCTGGTCCACTGTGCATGAGTTGCTATGAGTTGTGTGCCGACTCATTGTCTAACACAACGAAACGGATATTAAACCTACCTGTATTTTAAGAAGCTCTGGTTGCACAATAAGTTAAGCATTGGGGTGCTAATCAAAAGGGCAGTGGTTCAAACCCACGAGCCACTCCATGAGAGACAGGTGAGACTGTTTACTCCTTTAAGATTTACTACACCCTTAGAAACACTGAAACATTTCTACCCTGCACTACAGGGTCAGAATCAACTCTTTGGCAATGGGTGGATTCGTATTGCCTGCAGATATAAGTGCTTAGAAAGGTGTCTGATATATAGTAACTATTACGGTCACCACAATTATTCTGCTGATCTTCAAAGTGGAGTGAGTAGGCTTGTATCCCTGAAACGGGAATCTCATTCATTCTGTATATGCTTACATCACCCATCTACTGTGTGATGAGGGATATCAAACCGAAAAAATCCCTGCCATCGAGTCAATGCGGACTCCTAGCGACAGCTCACACACACACCCCAACCCGGTGAGTTTCTGAAACTGTACAATTGAAGTTGAAAGCCAGTCTTTCTCCCTCGGAGCTGCTGGTGGTTTCAAACTGCCAACCATGCAGTCCAAACTTGTTACCACTATACCTCTAGGGCTCATATAGGCTATAGATGAGAACCTATAGCAGTGACCAAAACAGATAAATCCCTGCCCTCTGGTGCTCACATGGGGCTTCTTCATCTGGACTGAGATCATCTAGACCACACAAGATGCTATGAAGCATGAGGCCTGGTGTTACTTTCTCTAACAATGTTGCTCCTCATTTCTTGGGAGCCTTGCTGTCTAGGATCTCTAGCAGGGAAGAGACCACTCCCTTGAGCGGATGTGTCACCTACCTTTCTGGCCCCCAGGTGTGCGGCTTCTGCGGCAGGACCCTGTCGAGTGTCTTTTCTCCTTCATCTGCTCTTCCAACAACAACATCACCCGCATCACTGGCATGGTGGAACGCCTCTGCCAGGCCTTTGGACCTCTGCTCATCCAGCTAGATGATGTCACCTACTATGGCTTCCCCACCCTGCAGGCCTTGGCTGGTGAGTGGAGGGGCTCTTGCACCTGGGGCCCTCCATCAGCTTTTCCTGGTCACTATCTCCAATCCCAAATCCTCCCATGTTCCTTCCCCCTGCCCCTGTCCAGAAGCACCCTGCCTGTCAGATCAGCTCTAACTGCACCTCTTCTTCCCCATCTGCCCTGAAATACCAGCAACTCTGTAGACTGAATTTTGCCCTTTCCATTCAATGCCTTATCATACCAAAAAAAAATTACAACAGCAGTATATAGTGTAGTTGTTAAGAACATGGGTTCTGGTGATAAACTGCGTGAGTTGAATCTTTTTTTTTTTTCCTTTTTAAAATCATTTTACTGGGGGCTCATATAACTCTTATTACAATCCATACATACATCTGTTGTGTCAAGCACATTTGTACATTTGTTGCCATTATTCTCAAAACACTTTATTTATACTTGAACCCTTGATATCAGCCCCTCATTTTCTGTTGTCCGTCCCCCAGGGAGGGGGTTATATGTAGATCCTTGTGATCAGTTCCCCCTTTCTACCCCACCTTACCCTTACCCTTCTGGTATCACTACTCTCATTGTTGGTCCTGAGGGGTTCATCTGTCCTGGATTCCCTGTGTTTCCAGTTCCTATCTGTACCAGTGTACATCCTCTGGTCTAGCTGGATTTGTAAGGTAGAATTGGGGTCACAATAGTTGGGGGGAGGAAGCATTAAAGAAGTAGAGGAAAGTTGTATGTTTCATCATTGCTACACTGTACCCTGACTGGCTCATCTCCTTGCTTGGGTTGAATCTTAACTGTGCCACACCTCTGATTATATGACCTCAGGCACATTATTTAGTCTTTCAGTTTTTTTATCTGTGAAATGGGATAATCATAGCTCCCACTGAGCAGAGTCGTGAAGGTTGAAGAAAAAGGATGCACAAAATGGACAACCCTGTGGTTAACTAAGAATGACATCTTCAAGAGGAATATTACATTCATCATCAAAAGAACATTTCAAGATCTATTTTGAAGTACAATGCTGTCTGTGATATGCTAATGCCCATGAGGAAGACCTTTTATTTTTTATTTATTTATTTTTGTTGAAGAAGACTTTTTAGTACATTATAATTCAAATTTATATGTCAACTACTATAGCCAGTGACGAAAAAAATTGAAGAATTCTGCCATCTACTTTCATCTGGAATAAATAAATATGCAATCAAAATGCATTGATAATTAATGGTGATTTGGAATAAAAAAAACTAGAGACAAAGTATCAGTAATTGGAAAATGTGCCCTTGGCAATTGAAACAAAGCTGGAAATTGTGTGTTAGAATTTTGCAAGACCAAAGACTTCATCATTGTAAATAACATGTTTCAACAACCGTACTGCTGACCGTACTTGTGGACTTCACCAGATGGAATACATGACAGCCAGTTTGACTACTTCTGTGGGACAAGACAACAGAGAAGAAGTTCAGTGTCATCAGCCAGAACAGACAAGCATATGAATGCAAGTTCAGGTGAAAACTAAAGAAAATTAAATCAGGTGTACAAGAGCCAAAACACAAACGTCAGTATATCCCACCTGAATTTCGAGACCATCTCAAGAACAAATTTGATGCATTGAACACCTGTTAACCAAAGATGAATTTTGGGATGGCATTAAGAACACTATACATGCAGAAAGCAAAAGGTCCTAAAAAGACCAATTTGGATATCAGAAGAGACTGGGAAATGAACACTTGAATATAGAGTAGCTAGAGATAATGTAAAAAGTGATTAAGTAAAAGCTGAACAGAACATTTCCAAGGGCAGCTCCAAGAGACAAAACATTATAGTGATATGTGCAAAGGCTTTGAGTGAAAAAACCCAAAGGGAAGAGCTTGCTCAGCATAACTCAAGCTGAAAGAACTGAAGAAGAATTCAAGCTTCCAGGTGTACTACTGACGGATTCTATAGGCCAAATATTGAGTGATGCAGGAAGCATCAAAAGGGGGGGATAATAGAAATACCCAAAGAGTCACTATACCAAAAAGAATTGATCAGTGTTTAGCCACTTCAAGAGGTTGCAGATAATCAAGAACTGATGATATTGAAAGAAATCCAGGCTATGCTGAAGGCATTAGTGAAAAACAAGGCACCAGGAGTTAATGGAATAACACTTTAAGTGTTTCAAGAGACTCAACAGTGCTGGAATCATTCGTCTATGCCAAGAAATTTGGAAGACCGCATAGCTAGCTAACCAGCTAGAAGAAATCCATATTTGTGCCCATCACAATGTGGAAATTATAGAACAATACCATTGATAACACATACAAGTAAAATTTTGCTGGTGATCATTCAACAAGTTCTGCAGTATATTCATAAGAACTGCCAGAAGTTTAGGCTGAATTCAGAAAAGGAAATGGAACAGGGATCTCAATTACTGACATCAGATGGACCGTGGCTGAAAGCAGAGAATACCAGAAAGATGTTTACTTGTGTTTTATTGACTGTGCAAAGTATTTAGCTGTGTGGACCATAAACTATGGAAAACATTGCAGAGAATGGGGACTCTGGCACACTTACTTGTGCTCATGTAGAATCTACATGGATCAAGAGGCCCTCATTCAGACAGAACAAAGGGTGGGGGTCAGGGTTGTATCCTTTCACTGTGCATGTTGAGAAGCCGGGCTATTTGAAAACAAGCACAACGTCAGCATTGGGAGAGGCACATTTATGCCCTAGAATATGCAGGTGTCAGAGCCTTGCTTGGTGAACGTGAGGAGGACTCGAAGCACTGGCTGATGAAGGTCAAAGACTGCAGCATTCGGTATGGATTACAACTCAATATCAAGAAAACAAAAATCCTCACAACTAGACACAATAGGCGACATCATGATAAACAGAAAAGATTTAAGTTGTCTAATATCTCATTTAGCTTAGATTCACAACACTCATGGAAGCAGCGGTCAATAAATTAAAGGCTATATTGCACTGTTCCAATCTGCACAAAACTTCTTTATGTATCATAGTCTGCCACCACATCTGCCTTAGAAGTATACCCCAAATGTTCCTTAGAACTGAGGATGACTTCATCTCCTGTACTTTGGACGTATTGTCATGAAGGACCAGTCCCTGGAGAAAGACACGATGGTTGGTAGAGGATCACTGAAAAAGAGGAAGACCCTGGTCAAGATACAGAGATAGTGGCTGCGGCAGTGAACTCAAACCAAAACCAGGCTCGCTGCCATCGAGTCAACATACTCAGCAACCCCCTGTGGGCTTCCGGACTGGAAGAAGAGGAGTAGAAAGCCCAGGGAGCGGCTGGTGCTTTGGAACAGCTGGTCATGTGACTCACAGCCTGATGCATCACCACGACACCACCGAGCCTCCTTGTGGACTCAGAGACAGCACCACGTTGAGGATAGTGCAAATAAAAGAATGCACACATTGCAACCGCATTTGGCATGCAGGGAGCAAGATTCAAGCGCTATGGCCGCGGTGAACGCCACGGCTCCACACCTAGGAGCGTACACGTCCTGCATAGCAGCCTCGTGAGGCAAGCGTTTTCCCGAAGCAAGCGTGTCAATTGACAGATAGGACAGCCAGGCAAGGGGCAAGACTTGGGACTGCGTCGTAAGGGGCAGCCTGTCTCTGGAAGGGAGCGTGCAGCCTGTGCTGAGTGCCCAGCAACCCAGCCTTGAGACTCGGCTCCCTTCTTGGCTACAAGACCTCAAGGAAGGCTTTCCCCTCGCCAAGCTTCTCCACCTGTTTGTAGGGAGGAGTTTCTTTCTAGTGGGGCTTCGTTAAGAGCACGGACATTGATGTCCCAGACCGGGCACATCCTCTCCACCATGTCCTTTCTTGAGCAAGTTCCTCAGCCTCTGCTAAGCCCTCAGTTTCTTCATCTGTGATCTCCAGGACCCTTGAGAACAGGAAGCAATCACACCTAGAGACCTAAAGCACTATTCCCGGTGCATCACCCCCAGCACTGGAGACTAGAAGCTGTTCTTAGCACAGTGACTACTGATGGCTCATTGTAGAGGGTAAGAGTTCAACTGGGAGCACCTCCACGGCAGTGAACCCTCCCCTGTCCCTGGTCCAGTGCCCAGCACTTAGTAGATACTCAGAAAATGTCTGCAAAGTGGCAGGTCCCAGGCTGTAGCCCTTTCCTTTGCACATACAAGTGTCTGCTGTCTCCCAAGGTGCTGGCCAGAGGACGGAGAATGTGCAGATGCCTGACACGCCCACCTTCCCCTCTCTCCATAGGGCCCAAGGTGGAGGCCCACCTGCGGAAGCTGGGCTTAGGGTACCGTGCCCGCTACGTGAGTGCCAGTGCCCGAGCCATCCTGGAAGAACAGGGCGGGCTGCCCTGGCTGCAGCAGCTGCGTGAAGCCCCGTACGAGGAAGCCCACAAGGCCCTCTGCACCCTGCCTGGTGTGGGCCCCAAGGTGATGGCAGGGGATGCGAGCTGCCCTTAGCACCCACACTAAGAGGAGGAGACAGGCAGCCTGAGCGCTGGGCAGTCTTGGCTTCTGGAGGCAGAGCAGAGAGGATAAAGGACAAGAGGTGTTTTCTTAGAGGACAAAAAGTCGAGTGTTGGCAGGGTGGGAAGGACAGGCTGCTCTGACCGCAGTTTTTGAATGGCCACGTGTTCTGATGCTATGTATATAGAAATGTCTACAGAGGAATCGGGGCAAACGTAGCAGTGGTTTTCTTTGGGAAGATGCAGCATAAGTGGTTTTCATTTCATTCGATTTTTCTTGAATTTATATGCACAGGATATTTTGAAAACTTTTTATTTCATGTCAACTGGATTACGGAGCAGTAATATATTGAAAATGTATGTTCTTTTTTTTAATACTTCTCCAATTTAGGAAATAATTTTTTAAAGGACTCTGACTGGTCAAGTCCCGCACATCATCCTCAGGGCCGCAGGGGTGTTTTTTGTCTGTAAAGTGGTAATTCTGTCACTCTAAGTTATGAGGCAGGCTTGGCCCCCATAGATGCAGCTGTCATCACCGCTGCTGTCACTGTTGTTGGCACCAAGAGAGTGTCGATTGACTGAGGGGATACCAAATGGTTAACACGCACAGCCTCCAACCAAGAAGAGGGAGGTTCAGGTCCATTCAGAGGTGCTTCACAGACGCCTGGCCGCCTGCTTCCAACAATGCAGCCACTGGAAAGCACTATGTACAAAAGCAACCAAAAGAAGAAGAAAATGTAGCCACTGAGGCTGATTACGTGCAACTAAAACCCTCCATGGAAGAGCACAGTCAATTAGCCTAACAACATGTCTCGTGCCTCAGCTCGGCCTCCTAGTTCTGTGCTTAGTACCTGGAGTCGGAAAAGTGTGCAAGCAGCTGTCCAAGGCACGGTTAGTTTCTGTTTGTCGGGAACAACAGAGGGAGAAGGAGAGTCAAGAATAGAAGGCGGACATAAAATGTGTGGAACACTGCCTCCTTTGCCCTGCATCCAGAACTGGATGGTGTCCAGCCACCAGTACTGAACATTTGGATCGAAGATTCCATAGGAGAATCCTGATCAAAAGGAGGGACATGCAGAGCGGAATTGGGGATGCTCGTGGACTCTCCACCGCCTGGGGCCCTGAAACCACTACCCATGTCCCCTGCAGTCTTCTTAAAACCAGACAATAGTTTTAGGGTCTGCCCAAAAGAGCATTGCGCACTTTTAAGATTGACTTCTCTTTAGAGGATCACGCTAACAGCGGCAAATGGAAGGATTAGCTAGGAATCTTGGGGAGCACTGAATTTATGTTCCTGGGGGGAGGAGCAACTCCGAAAAGGAAACGGTGACCCCACTCAGCGTCACTAATGGTACATGGAAAGCCCTTGAACGGGTGCATGTTTTGTTGTGTCTATTCTTAGTAATAACACAATTCATAATACAGTTTAAAAACATGTAAAACCCTGTAGGGCAAGGCTGTCCTCTGACACACCTGGACCACCATTAGCCAGGATTGACTCGATGGTGGTGCCTGGTTTCTTAGGCTGGTGGACGCTCAGAGTGGATCCTGCCCGTCAGCCTTGGTCTCTGTCTGTCTCTGAAAGGTGGCTGACTGCATCTGCCTGATGGCCCTCGACAAGCTCCAGGCCGTGCCAGTGGACATCCACATGTGGCAGATTGCCCAGTGTGACTACAATTGGAACTCCGCCACGAGCCAGGCCAAGGGTCTGAGTCCCCCAGCCAACAAGGAACTGGGTGAGGAGAGCGGGGTGTTGTTGGGGCCAGCAGAGGAACAAACCTCTCCCCATCTCGGTCACCTCTCCCTAAATCCCACATCCTCTGTGTGGGAAGCAGAAAGAGAAGGTCTAAGTGATTTAGACTCATTACTTTTGCCCTAGGAAACTTCTTCCGGAATCTGTGGGGCCCTCATGCTGGCTGGGCCCAAGCGGTGAGTAGACCCAGGCTCTCCTCCACTCTCCGCCCATTAATCCAGACCACGTGAGATTCCCCGCCCCACCCCACCGGCCCCAACCCCAACCCTATGGGTCACTCCAGTAGCCCCGTCCTGATCCTCATGAGCCCCTTACCACCCAACCCAACCAAGTGACCCTACAGGACAGCCACCCTGAACCCAGAGGACTTGCACATGAGTATCTCCCAGTGGATGTTTGCTGCCTCCAGCCCTGTTCCCAGTGGACCGTCTGCTCCTTACATTGCCACCTTTTTTCCAGCCCTGGCCGTGGGGATCCCTCTCCACATGAACCTCTTGCCCCCACAGGTGCTGTTCTGTGCTGACCTACAGCAGCCACGCCGGGCTCAGGAACCACCAGCCAAGCGCAGAAAGGGCTGCAGAGGGCAGGAAGGCTAGACGGAAACACTGGACCTCCCTTCCTCTCTCCCCAAGGCTGGATGTTGGGGAGGGGGGCTCCCTGGAGCTACCTCGGGGGCTGTGCACCCCCAGATCAAGCAGTCGGTTTGTACAACAGGGTTGGGTGGGGGCTCTCTGGGGAGACAGGCTACCTGTGGTTTTATCCTCTTCCCTTTATTACAAGAAGGAACAATAAAATAGAAACATTTGTATGGAAAATGCAATGAAGGAGAACAGGAAGGGAGTAAGGTGGAGTGGAACAGGGGAACTCCCCGGTTCAGGGAGGGAAGGGAAGTCAGCTGTCCCCAGCCCCTCCCAGGCAGGGGGTCCCGGCTCTGGCTCCAGGTCCTAGAGCTGGGGGGGCAGCGGCGGGGGTAGTTCTGGCCCTGGCTCCACACAGCAGTCCCGACAGCAGCAGCCAGCCCCCGGCCCTGGTGGGGGAAAGAACAGAGCTGGCTGCAGGGGCAGACCCTGCACCCAGCCTGGGTGCCTCTGGGTGCCCCACCCAGGTCCTCCCGCAGAGCCCTGGCCTTACCCCCAGCTGTGGGTGCCAACAGCTCCCCATGGCTTGCCGTCTGCCCATGCCCCTCCTGGCTGGTGCCCAGCTGTAGCTTCCGCATGTGCCGTACCACGGCGGTGGCATTGAAGGCTTGCTGTGTGGGAGAGAGGAGAGAGGAGGCCTTTGAGAGAATGGGGTCCTGTTGTTTTCACTCAGGTGTTGTTCACGGATCCCGTGACCCCACAGACCTCTACAAGGCTTTGAAAAATAATAATTAATCATGCACATTGACACTTGTGCACATGCACTCACATGTAAAAATGTGTTTACAAACAAGCGCTGACATAGGGTTCCTATCTATATATAGCCGAAAACACTAGAGCAGTGTGTGTCACACCGCCCCAAGCCCTGTGCACGGTCATTTACGTATCACACCACTGTGGTTGGCACCACCCGGGTCACATATTCAAAGGAGGAAGTTTCACAGAGGTTAAGCGGTGTGCCCTGGGGGGTGGGGTATATAAGTGTGTGTGTGTGTGCACCTTTCTCAGTTCAACATTATCCCTTCTACTCTATAGCCAGTCAGCCACTCCTCGCTCTTCCTGTTGCTACTGCTTGGCTCCAAGCCTCTGCCTCCTCCTGGGTCTCCCAGCCTGGGGAGATGGTCTTACCTTCCACTTGCTCTTGGCAAAGTTCTTCCTGATCTGCTCACTCACCGACTGGTGGATATTCTTGTCCAGAGCAGTGTCCCCTGCAATCCTGGGAGAGGATTGGGGGGCGGGGGCATGAGCGGCAAGCCTGGGGGGCCCAAATGCTCCCCCCCCCAACACAGAGGCATGCTCACCATGGGTGCTGCAAGGCCTGCTCACACGTGAACCTCTTCTCTGGGTCCTTCTCCATCAAGTGCCGGATAAAATCTTTGGCTGAACCCCCCCCACAAGACAAAGCAAGGACAGGGTGGGGGTGGCTGTGGCACCCCCTGGAGAAACCCCACCCCCTCCGATCTGGCCCAGCGTCACAGCAAGACAAGAGGTCAGGTTTGCGCGGGTCCTGGCCGCCCCATCTGCTTCATCCAAGCCCCCAGCCCAGATCCTCAAGCTCGCTCTCCCCTAACAAAGCACTTGTCTTAGAAGATTGTGTCAGTGATTGATGATACCTTTATAGCTGCTTCCTACTCGGGCACGAAGGCGAAATGAATGTGTCTGGAGGTGGATCGGGCATTAGGAAGTCAGTGGGAGTCTTCAGATGCCCGAGGTGTGCAAGGTGCATGTATGCGAAGTGTATTTGCTGGGACCAGGCAGAAGAGAAGGGAGCCCCTGGCTGGAGCATTGGCCCGGAGCCAGCTCTTAGACTAGGGCCGTGGGATGGGAAAGACTGAGACACCCACCCCCAGAGCAGATGAAGGCACCAGGGGCAGGGGCCCATGTACCAGAATCAGAGATGTCGTCCCAGTACGGAGAGTCAAACTCATACTCGGCCTTCAAAATCTGTTCAAAGAGTTTGGCATCGTTCTCGTCGTAAAAGGGAGGGTAACCGCAGAGCCTGGGCAGAGAGGGCGGTCTCATTTCCACAGTCAGAGCACCCGCTGGCTCCCAGCCGGAGCTAAAGTGACACCCCAGGAGGCAGGACCCAAGGGAAGGAGTCCCCTTTTACACAGGGGTGGGGATGGGGGGTGTCTAGCCCTTTTGGCCTCTCACTCCTGTCCAGCTACACCAGCTGCCTCTTCTGTTTGTGGAATTCCTCTCCCAGACCTCTGGCTGCCTTCCTCACGTCACCCCAGAAGCCACTCTCACGTGACCACACTGTCCCGTACTGCCACCCCCTGCTCCCTGCCATGCACGGGTTTTCTCCACAGCACTTTGTAGCACCTAAGAGAACTCATCCACGTGTGTACTGTCTCCCTGCTGAAACATCAGCTCCAGGGGACAGACCCTCTGTCCCTTTGGACGGCACCTGCAACGGTAAAGCCCAAAGCTTGTGAGTTGGCGCTGCCTTGTGGTGTCCCCTCTATATCAGAGGAACTGCGTGCCCCAGGGCTTTCTGTGCTGACCTGCCCCGATAGGGACCATGCCTTGCGGTTAGCCGAGGGCTTCGTCTATTTGCCCTTGACAGACCCTAGTGGAAGCTTGAACTCTAAACTAAACTCACCACTGTGGAGCCAATTCTGACCCTTAGTGACCTGATAGGATAGAGAAGAACTGCCCCTGGAAGGTTCTAAGTCTGGAAATCCTTATGGGAGCATCATCTCAGCTTTGTCCCAAAGAGCAGCTGATGAGTCTACGCTACCTACCTTGCGGTCAGCAACTCGGTGCACCTAGCTGGTGCTGAACAAAGAGCTGTTGAGTGATGTCATTACGTGATGAATTGGCAGAGACAGAGACAGGAGGAAAGGCAGGAAAGTGGGGAACGGAACACCCTGGAGTCCCACTCCCCGACGGCCAAGCCCCTACTCACAGGATGTAGGCGATGACCCCTATGGACCAGCAGTCCACAGCCTTGCTGTAGGGTTTCTGGGCTAGGACTTCAGGGGCTGTGGAGGGAACGGGACACGGTGGTGACAGTTCTGGGTAGTGCCTGGTTCCAGCCCTGGCCCTGGCCCGGGCCCTTCCTCACCCACGTATCCGGGGGTCCCACAGGCGGTGGAGAGCACGCTGCCCGGGTCCTCCACCTTGGAGAGGCCAAAGTCTGAGATCATGATCTTGGAGTCTTCGTCCAGGTTGTCATACAGCAGATTCTCCGGCTGGCAGTCAGGAGGGGGAGAAGAGGCGGGTAGACCCTTCTCTTCCCCAGGCACACCTTGACAAACCACACACACACATACACACACACACACACACACACACACATGAAACCACACTCCGTCCAGCAGCCATCCTCGCCTGAGGCACCAGTATCCCAAGGACAGTCTCCAGAAGATGACAGTTTCCAGAAAGGATAGGGCCAAGAGGGCAGGAAGGACTTGTCTGGAAACTCCAGTGTGCCTTGTGAAGCCCCTCGAGCTCCGCTCCCTGTCTTCTTAGGGGTCCCACTCGGTCCTCAGCTCCGCCCACCAGGCCAACAACCAGCAGCGGGGAGCTGCTTCCTTCAGGGAGGAGTAGTGACCTGCTGAGAGCCCTGGCGTAGAAAGTGGCAGGGCCTGTGAGTGCAGTTCCTCCCCGGGGCTGAAGGACAGGTGCACACAGGCACACGTCTGTCCGTCCCTAGCTCTGGGGAGGAGCTTTCTGCATTCTGCTCTGTCCCATTCACCTGCCCTACAAGGCCCACGTGGGACTTCAGGATCAGAAAATGGCACAAAGCGTTACTCAGATGAGGTCGCTCGGTGTGTTCCTTTGCGTGTCCTGACCAGAAGAAGGGGAGGAGGCAGTTGAGGGCCTACAAATCCATACTGCAGGTAGGCACCCCGAGGCCCACCAAGGGGGTGAGAATCACCAAGTTAAAACCAATGTGATGCCAGGGCCCTGGGTGCCCCCTTACCACACAGCCTCACGCCTCACCTTGAGGTCCCGGTGGACAATGCCGAGGTCGTGCAGGTACTTGACAGCGTCCAACACCTGGAAGATGAGGCGGCTGGCATCCCGCTCTGTGTAGAAGCCTTTCTCCACAATGCGATCAAACAGCTCCCCGCCCGACACCCTGCAGTGGGGGAGAAGGCAGTCTGGCCAAGAGCATAGGGAGGAGGACCCAGGGCCAGGACGGTGTGAGGAAGGAGCAGAGGTGGGGCCACTCACAGCTGCATGATGAGGTAGAGGTGGCCCCCACTCTCATAGATATCATCCAGGGCTACAATGTTGGGGTGCTTGATCCTGGAAGCAGAAATGAGGTGGCTCAGCGCTGAGGACAGCTCAGTCACCTCCCCACCCTCACCTCCCACCACCTGAGCAGGACAACCCAAGGGTCTAGACCACAAAGGGGAGGGCTGGTTTGCCTCGATCGATCGATTGATTATTTATCAGGAGGCAGGAGGGCCAGTGGGTAAACACCAGCCTCTGGCATCTGACGGAACAGCATTCAAATCCAGCCTCTGTCGTGGGGCTAAGTCCTCTTCATCCCGCTGATCGATGTATGCATTTAATTATTTTTCTTTGTCAACAAGTTTATCAGCCTTTCCCATCAGGTCAGTTCCAGGAGATCAGGAACTCTGACCAGTTCACCGCTGTTCCCTTGGCACCCGATGCCCAGGACTACCAGTTGGGTTGAATGCAACCTCTTGGAACCTGTGTCCCCGGGAATGAAGTGAAGCCAACGGTTACACTTCCCTCAGCGAGTTGGGGTGGGGGTCATGGGAGTCGATGGAAGTCAAGTGCTTGACTGAGGGCCTGGCCACAGTCAATGGTCAGGAAGTTCACCCATCGTGGGGATTGATCCTGAGGAAAGGGACGCTTGGCTGTGCCACAAACGTGCGCTCTGACCTTGGAAGTCCCTTGCCCTCTATGGGCCTCAGTTTCTCCGCCTGGGAAGTGACAGAAGTCATTTCTTCCCAGCCTATGTCTCTGCCCAGGGAGCTGGACAGGCTTCCGAGAGAGGCTGGAGGTGAGCTTCCCAGGGAGGCTGGCAGCTGCTTGAGCATCTCAAAGATCGAGCTGGTGGTGGCTGAGGGGGGCAGAGGGTCAGCACAGACACTTTTTCAAAAACTTCCTGAAGTGCCAAGAAAACTTAAACAAAAAACCCCTCAGCTTCAACATGTGGGGGAACTTTGTGACTGTGGGCGTGGCCCTGTTGGAGAATCGACCTTTAGATGGGAGGCAGCATGAAACCACTGTAAACCTGCACTTGTATCTGTCTCCCTGACATGTCCATTCTCGTGCCAAGTGATTAGTAACACTCCCATCCTATAACTAAGCAAACGGAGGCGCAGAGAGATTAAACAATTCTCCAGAAATGGGTGGGGAGGCAGGGGAAGGGTCAGGGCTGGGGCAGCCTGGGGCAGGGAGGGTGGTGCCTTCCCGCCCCCCCCCCCAACTCCCGCACTTGTGCAGGACAGCGATCTCGTTCTCCATGCTCCCTTCCTTGCCCTCCAGGGCCTTCTTGGCTATGCATTTGATGGCCACCAGCTTCTGCGTCCTCTTATCTTCTGCCAGGATGACCTCAGAGAAGGCACCCCTGCAGGGAGAGGAAATGCCTAAGGTCGGGAATGGGAACCGGCTTGCCCACCACCCACTGTCACTGTCGCCTGCGAGCCCCCACCTCTGGACCACTGTGGGAGGATGAACCTCTCCCAGTCACGCATCTCCCCCTGATGCTAGAGACGGTCACATGACCCGTGTCTGCCAAATCCGAGTAGTCAGTTGGTAATGGAGTCATGTGATTCACCACGTTCCGGGCACTTCCCAACCAGGTGCTTTTTTTTCCTGCCAGGCTGGGAGCATGTAAGCCTGGGACTAATTGGCCACTGCTTGAGGACAGCCTGCTTGTGTATGAAGCCAACACGAAGGAAGTCAGCACTGGGAAGCAGCCAAGACAGTGTCCTGATAACACCAGCCCCTGCCTGGATCCAGCCTGCCGGAAAGCTATCCCCGCCTGTTTCGGCTTGCACAACCCCTCTGAGTCTAGCTAATTGGTTGCCCTTTAGAAACAAGCGTGAAGCCACCAGAGTCACCTGGGCCATCATATTAGTAGTAGAACCCAGTCCTCGACCGCAGCAGGACTCAACCTCGTCGGATTTTGATGTGAAATGTTGAGTTGGTTTTTGTAAACAACAGCAGTTCGTGCTTCAGTCACTTGGCATAGTTGGCGTAGTTCGTACGCGTAGTTTAAACCTTTTGCAGCTGCGTTCCAAGTGTTTTGCTATAATTTTCTTAGTTTTTGTGGGTTTTTTGTACTGTTTTTAGATAAAAAAATATGGGTCCTAAGAGGTTTCTTTTTTTAAAGAATCATCATAAGGAACTGGCTAATTGTATTATTGATATTGTTGATAATTTAGTAAACCCTTTTAGAAAACAGTTAAGGAAATACCAACAACAGACCACATTAGACAGATTTTTTTTAGAGAAAGCCAGCCATGTCCTAGTGAAAAAAGGTATAGAAGGAAAACAAAAACTGAAAAGCAGCTACAGTTGACTTTATGGAAGGGGATTCCCCTTCCAAACAATGACTCTCTCCACACCTCCGCTGCACATTCGTGTCCACAGTTCCAGATCCTCATCAATTTCAAGGTATGGACCACAATGTAGTGGTTAAAAACTTTTTTAATGTTATGTTTCTTATTTAAATATTTAACTCTGAACTTATTTACTTTGAAATTTCTGTGTCATGTTTTGTATAAAAGGCAAGGTTAGGGTAAAAACTTGGTGGCCAAGAACAGATTAATCTATTTTCAGTTATTTCTTATGGAAAAAATTGATTCGGAACTCGACTGCATCGCATCTTGATGCTCCTTCTAGACCGAATCAGCGTCAGGGTCCGGGGTTCTACTGTCTTTACTGTTGTAGGTAAAGCACTGAGCAGGGCAAGCTCTGTATGTTTCTTTGGGGTGGGGTGGATTAGACATTTTTTTTCCTATGTGTATCTCTTTTTTTATTTCTTTATTTTCAACTCTCTTCCCTCCCTACTCCTCCCACACCCTCCCCATAACCTTCAAAGTCTGTTGCTTCGGGTGTGAAAATCATTTTCCTAACCGTCGTCTTGCATAGCATTTGTCTTTATGAAATTAACTGACATTTCTGAGCAGTGTCTTCCAAATTTGTGTGGCCCGTGTTGTTATTGCTTTTTGGGGGATGCATAGTATTCCACTGCAAAGACGTACCACAATGTATTCCTCCAGATGGGTGTCTGGCTGTCTCCATCTTCTTGCTGTTGTGGATGGTGCTGCAGTAGCCATGCATGTGTGTCTGTCTGTGTTTCGTGCCCTTTTTCTTTGGGGCATATACCGAGTAGAGAGATACTACTGGTGGGCATTTCAGGGAGTTTTTTTTAAAATGCAAAGTGTTAGGTCTCATGTTGACCTTCTAAACCAGACTCTGCATTTTAACCAGCTCTCCAGGTGGTTTATATGCACATTTAAGCTTGAGAAGCAGTGTTTTAGAACCAGACCCTTAGAAAGGAACAAATAAACCCATATACGCTAGAGTTCAGCTTCGATGGTCTTTTTATGGTCATTTGTTCTCCGGGGAGAATAGCCAAAGGAAAGCATCGCTCATGGTGAAATGTTTGTCATCAAGAATAACCAGTGGGTGTAGTAGGTTCATCCCCAGTTTACGGTTTTCATCTCCCAGTCTCTCCTCCTGTGGTCTGCTCAGAGTGACTCATGCACCCTGAATCATAAACTTGCAGCAAAGTCTTCCATGGCTTCCTCTGGCCCACGGAATGGAGGCCAGTCTCAGTGGTTTGATTTTCAAGGGCCTGCGTGTCCTGCTTCATCCTTTCCTCCAGGCCCTACTGTCAGGTACCATGCCTGTATGGCTTTGCCAGTGCTACTCCTTCTACCTAGTATGTCCTTCCCCTCTCGGGTAAGTGCACTCCCACCTATCCTTCAGTCCCCAGCAATAATGCCCTCTCTTCCAGATAGAAGCTACAGCCCTCTTCGGGCTATACAACGCCCCAGCCTGAAGTGGAGCATAGAACACATGATGCAGGCCTTCAGATGGGTCTGGGGCCCACTTGAGGGGCAGAGAGGGACCCAGTATGAGTTATTTCTGGATCCTCAGATCAATAACAGAGCCACATTCAGACTAGCCGGGCCCCAGGTTGGTTACTGCCATTAAATCTGAGAAGCTGGCCCCTTGGTCTCCCTGCACCTGCCTCAGTAGGGACCCACAACTGCACCCAGAGCAGTCCTTGTCCGCCCCCCCCCACTGACAGAGGGAGCCTGGGTCATGGCAAGGCCACCTGCCCTGCCGCAGGCTTGAGGCTGTGGAAGACAGGAAGCAGTGATCCACAGACCAGAGGAAGTGCCCTAGTCCCAGCCAATGCTGCGCTGCAGTCTAGATCTTGGCATGCAGACCACCCAAGGCCCCTCCCACCAGGCCACCTCAGGGACAGTCCCCCTTCTCTCCTTCCCTGAGACTTGACAGCCCACACTCACGTGCCCAGAACATCGCGGAAGTCATAGATGTCCCTAATGTCCTCTGCCTGCTTCCAGTTGGGGGCTTCCACTGCCCCCGGCATGGCCCACTCCCTGATGGCCTCAGCCAGGACTCCTGAGAAGGAAAAAGGAAGGAGTGGGCTGAGTGGGGCCTTCGCCTTCTCTTAGGGGACTGAACCAGGGGGCCCATTCCATCACTCAGCGTTCATCCAAGTCAGTCATTCCTCAAAGTCCTCTAACAAGCATTTGTTCGTTCACTAGAAGTGATTCATTCCACATCCTTTCAGGCAGAAGCAAAATTCTTCATTCAACAAAGTCGTTCTGCCTTCATTTATGTAGCTCCCTTTCCAGGCAGCCAGGCAGACCCTGGCCTCTGGATGGACCTTAGAGGAGACTCCAGGAAGCTAATATTATGGGTGCACAGCCTGAGGTCATGGTCCTTGCCCAGAGCCAGCAATGTCTCAGCCCCACTCAGGACTGCTCTGGTGGGTGTCTCCTCGCCTCCTCCTTCCCCCCCCCCCCCCCCCAGCCTCTCGGAAATCAGGTTTCCGGCAGCCCAGGCTTCCAGCAATATCTCAGCCACGTTTTTAAATAGCTCCTGCTGCACTGTTACCACGGCAACAACAGCCACAGCTGGAGCTCCCCCAGGCCTCTACCTTACCCCCCCACCCCCAGCCCCGCCCACTCCTGGCGCCCCATCTGGGTCCAGGCAGCCTGGTCCCACCCAACCCATCCCCTCCTGCCCTGGCCTTACCCTGATTCAGTCAGAATGTTTCCCCACTGGGAGCCCTGGCTCACCCAGCGGAAGAGGGTGGACATTACCTCCCCCCCCCTACACCCCGTGGCCAGAGGCTTGGGGAGACGGAGGCCCGAGATCAGTAGGGGCTGGGTTCAGAGTTCCCCAAATGATGCCCAGCAGGGTCCCAGCTGAGGTGGGTGAGGGGAAAGGCCACGAGGGGCCTTCCCTCTGGTGGTTCTTCTAATGTGCAGCCAGGCTAGGGCCCGCAGGGACACAGCTACCCACCCTACTCCCAGAGGGTGACTCCAAGCAGCCTGGCGTGTTGTGTGACCCAACACAGGGAGCTCACCCCTCTGCTTCCTGAGGGGAAGTGGGGAGAAAGGGTCCTATCTAGAGCTACTGGTGTGAAATCCCACCTAGGGGCTCTGACCTCCAATCCCAGAAGCAGAAACTTCTAGGACAAGAGACTGGCCGGGGAGCTCTGGAGGTGGCGTCCTAAGCCCATCAGAAGGCAAATAAGCCTCTTACAGTTCCACACACATCCCCCCATTCAGGCACCTCACACCAAGCTTCACCCATATCCCCAAATCCAGGAACTGACTTGTCCCCAGAGCCAGGTGTCACCCAAACATCCTGATGCCTAACTATATGAGCATGTCCCCAGACATCAGCACGCATCTTCAGCCTCACTGGCCCTCTTGAACCTGGACAAGATGACCCCTGAGCACACCCCCTGTACAACAGACACCCCAGATTCACCCACACCCTACACCTTCCAGCTCCTCAGACCCTGCAGACACCCAGAGCACGCAGTCATGCCCTCTGCCACTCTTTCAGAGCCAGATAACCTTACCTCAGCACACACACCTGAACACCCGCCAATCCCCAGACATCCCACCCACAAGAAGGTCCCCACACTCCAACCCCTGACCCAGGTGGCTGTCCTAAGACCACAGTGCACCCCAACACGCGCCCCCCAGATAGACCCCCCACCTACACACACCCTGTTACCCACCCTGTTTCCCACGGCTGGCCTGGCACCTGCTAGGCCCGGGGCTGAAGTAGAGAAAAAAAGGCCCAGCCATGCCGTGCCCATGCAGGGTCCAGCCCGTCTGGTACCCTCCCCATCCCTGAGCGAGTGCTTTCGATGGTGAAAGGCTCCCCCCCCCGCCGCCCCCTCGGCGCCCAGGGGCGCTGGCCGGCCAGGCCCTGTGGAGTACCTGCGGCTGCCCCGCCGCGGGGCTGGCTGCGAGGCCCGAAGAGGCTGGCGGAGCTCTGGCCGCGTCGCCGCCGCTGCGCCCGGCCCGCCCTCCAGCTCGCCGGCTGGCCTCGGCGGCTCCCTGCGCACCCCCACCCCCACCCCCGCCCGCTCTGATGTCAGCGGGGCGGAGCCTGTGGCGGAGGGACGCGGCGCAGCTCCCGCCGGGGACCGGGACCCCTGAGCCCTGGACAGACCTGCCGGGCACCTCGGTCTCCAGGAAGGCTCGCTCCCATTTCAGAGGGGACCACTGGGGAGGCCCAGGGAGACAGACGCCCGGTTTCCAGCCGGCAGTCGATCAGTGGCAGAGCGGGATTCGAACCCTTGTCCGTGTGATGCCGAGCAAGCCCACTTCACGCCGTCGCCTCCTGCAGTTCCTCCAGACCACTTCTGGACTGCGATCTAAGGCGTCCCTCCCTCCGGTGGCCAGAAGCGAACTAGACGTGCAGAAGGAGGGCTCGGGAGACTGGAGGGGCGAGGGGGGCAGGATTCTTAGCAGACAGTCCAGACGAGCGTGGGACGCAGAGGTTCAGGGCAGGCAGGTTCTGCGTGTGCTGCATCCGGAGAAAGCAGGTCAACGAGAACCCACGTGTCATGTGAATGGGCAGGAGCTGGGGCTGATGGCTGGGGGCCAGGTGGAATGGGGTGGGGGGAGGGAGGGCGGCCGCCAAACTGGCTCCTGGGGTGGCGGGCAGGGGGCCAAGGGACCTGACCCAGGTCTGTTTGCGCAAGGCTTTCCCTGGGAAAAAATCTGGCACCAAGTGGGAAGCAGGGGGTGGGGGAGCAGCTCCCAGGATCTGATGGTGGGGTTGGACTGCCAGCCGGAGACCATGCATCGGACTCCTAGCCCACCGCTAACCACCTTCTAGTGGGACCCCTCCTCCAGAACGCTGTGAGACTATGCCTTCCGCAGCTCACTTCCAACTGGCTGCAAACCTCCCCTATCAACATGGGGACTCTTAGAGATGTCCGTCCATTCCGTATGCCCATTTTACAGAGTCGAGAAGAAGACATCTGGCTATGTTTGGTAGAGGGCTTTAGGGTCCAGCTTGGCCTGCGTCTATCCCCTTGACCCCTCTGAGTCTCATTTCTTCATCTGGAATAAGGGACTCAATTGATAGAATCACAGGTTTCTCCTGAGAACTATGTGAGGTGATGGGTGTGAACTGCCTGAAACACCATAGGAGCACCACACAGGAGAGCTGGATTTAGCAGACACAGGCTCCTTGGGGAGGGGAGGGGAGAAGAGGGGAGGGGTGAGGAGAGGACCTGATTTGGCCAGGGGGCAGAGGGCTAAGGGGTAATCATGTCCCTTCCCCTACCTCTCAGTATCTCAGACTCCTGGACCAAGTGGCAACCCCCTCTTTCCAAATCTGGAGGCCTGAGCTCCCCACCCCCCAGTGAAACATAGCTCAGGCACAAAGTTGAGCCACTACTGCCCTTGCACCTGCCCAACAGCATCCTCACGGAGTGGAGTATGCTTCCCAATAAGCTCCTGTTTATCCCACCGACAACCTGCCAAGACCCTCGTGGCCTGAGTCCTTCCAAGGACTTGCACAACTTCTATGCTATTTAAAGAAAAATTGGTTATTTTTTCATTGTTATTGTTGAAAAACACACCGCAGAACCTCGGCCAAGCCAACAGTTGCTGCGTGTGCAGTTTGGTGATACTGATGACGCTCGTTCTCACTCTTCTGAGGGCTCCTCCCTCGTTAGCATAGCCAAGGTTTCCATCACATATCTCTAGTTGCTGCTGTCAATTTGATCCCATCTATGAGGAGACCATTCTTTAAAAGGGCACAATCCTTACGTCAGACTTTCTTTAAAAGAACATTAAATCATTGTTTGGTTTGAGGAAGATTTCAGGGGATCTGGTTGGTATGATGTTTAATGATTATCTCAGGATAGTAGTTTCCGGGTTTCGCTCAGCCTCAGTTGCTCTAGAAAGTATGGAGTCAGTGAAAATTTGGAATTCTTTCATATAGTTCCCCGCTTTTGATCAAGGGGAAAATCTTTGTTCAAAATGTCCGGTTCTTCTGGGCTCATGGCAAAGAAGGCAGGTATTTGTGGAAGCAGTGAGCACGTTTTGACATCCTGACTGTTCTTAATTATGTCTACGGGCCCTAAAGGAGCCCGGTTGGGACAGTAGTTAATCGTTGGAGCCCACCAGCTGCTCCAAAGGACACGAACGTGGCAGCCTGCACCCATAAAGATTTACAGTCTCAGAATCCCATGGGATAGTTGTACTCGGTCCTTTGGTTTGGGGAAGGTCACGTATGCGTTCTTGTAAGAAATAAACACACCCTATCTTTATTTTAGGAGCAGAGTCCTGATAGTACTGTAGGGTGCATACTGCATTGCTAACTACAAGGTTGAGGTTCAAACGCACCAGCTGTCCCTTGGGAGGAAGCTTATGTGCTCCGTATAACAAATTACACTCTCAGAAATCCCATATCGCCCCTCAGGACCAATAATGAGAGTAGCCAAACTAGGAGGGGAAGGGAAAAGTGGGAAGAGAAAGCAGGAACCTATCACAATGATCTACATATAACCCCCTCCCTGGGGGATGGACAACAGAAAAATGGGTGAAGGGAGACATCGGACAGTGTAAGACATGAAAAAAATAATAATTTATAAATTATCAAGGGTTCGTGAGGGAGAGAGGGGAAAAAAATGAAGAGCCGATACCAAGGACTCAAGTAGAAAGAAAATGTTTTGAGAAGGATGATGGCAACAAATGTACAAATATGCTTGACACAATGGATGGATGGATGGATGGATTGTGATAAGAGTTATACCAGCCCCCAATAAAATGATTTTAAAAAGAAATCCAATATTGTATAGGTTCACTCTGATTTGGAATCAACTGGATGGCAATACGTTTGGTTTGGTTTGGGTCTTTATTTTACTGTTTCCCTGTGGGGAAAGCACATAAAGGATTGAAAACACACACAGACCATCCTTGACGCTGTCAGATTTTTTTGTTTGTTTGTTTCCATTTGCTTAACATAAGCCTCCTTCACCAAGAAGGAACCTTGGCTCCCAGAGCTGGCACAAGGTGGAAGGGAAAGCACAGGGGCCAGAGTCCTGGACCTGGGGACTCAGGGGCAGGCTCCCCACTTCTCTCAGTTCTCTGTGCATTGACCTCTCTTCCTCTGCAGAATGATATTCTCTCATTGGCAGGAAACTTGAACCCCGCAAAAGGAGAGCTACACCCAGTTTTGTCTATCAGTCTCAAGGCAGGACTCTGGTTCCCCTGCTTGAGTAAGGTGCCATGCCTTATCTGTCACCAAGGGGATGAGGTGCTAGGCTGGGAGAGTTATGGAAATGGGCAGCCATACCAGAGCCACCAGAGATAAAGGAGCGGAATGCAGAGGGCGGGGTTGGCAGGCATAGCAATCAGGATGAACATCAGTGTTAGCATTTTTTGGACAGAGTCTTTCAGACTTTTTGGATGCAAATCCACGTACATACTTCCCCCTGCAGCCCACAACCCTAATGAGCACAATTCAAGGTATAAATTTTTAAAAAGTAAATCAAGGCAAGTCAGTTATGCGTAGGATGAAAGAGGACAAGACCGCTCAGAGAAATCCATTCATTCTTATACCTAACAAGCAGAATGGCTTTCTACATTTAGAGAAAATGGAAGCAATCACACAGGAAAAAATGAACGGGTTGACTGGAAAACATTTTTTAAATATTCTTAAAAAAAATTCTTTAACTTCTGTTGCTGAAATGAAAAACAAAACTTGCTATTGACTTGTGTTCCCCCCAAATAAGTGTTGGACATCCTAATACTCGTGGCTATAACCTCGTTTGAGAAGAGAGCTTTCTTTGCTGTGTTAATGAGCCACATCCAAATGGGGTACAATTAAAAATGGAAGCCAGACACCTTTCAGATATAGAATGAACAGATTAAGTATAAAGGAGGAAGCTGAGATGGGAGGAGATAGATGCCAGGCTCTGAAGATTGCCAAGGGACCAAAAACAAATAAAAAAGAAACCAGGATCCTCCCGGAGAGCTAACAGAGAGAGGACCTTCCCATAGAGCCCGTGGCTGAATTCAGACTTCAAGCTTTCTGAAAACTGCGTGGAAATGTGGGTGTTGAAGCTCCCCGCTTGTGCTACCATGCTCCTCCTGTTTTAGCCGCGCTAGATCACGAGAACCAGAATGACTCCAGAATCATAACCAGCAGTAAAGGAAACCAGATTGGGGAAACGTTTTCATCACCTAAAAAAGGAGCATGCAAATTGGTGAGAAACTGGCTAAGAATCCCAAAGATGGCCAAAGAACGTCTATGATTTGTGGAAGCACAAATGCAGGAAGCAAGTGTGGAGCATTTCTCTCTCACTCGGAATAATGGGAATACACCGAGAGGAAGAGGTCATTTGAAGCCTTTACCAGCTGGTCCCCCAGGAGGCTAGGACTGACAGGAGGATGAGCACGCCTCCACTTTGAGTGGGAACAAGGACTTGTTTTAAGTTTTGTTTTTTTTCCCAAGGACTTGTTAAAATCTTGTGGAAAGCAATTTGGCACCGAGTACTTAAAGGCTTTTTAAAAATCCAGACCTTTTGACTTGAGAATTACTCTTCTGGGAATCTGTTTCAGGGAAATAATGCTAAATTGGGGCAAAACTATACATTCCAACACATTTGAAGATATATTTTTATAACAGCAAACGTTATTTAAAAAGTCACGAAGGCAGGAATGTTGAAAAACAAAATTTCTATCCACCAGATGAACTATTTCACAGTGGGTGAACCAGGGGTTCTCAACCTTCCTAATGCTGTGACTCTTTAATACAGTTCCTCATGTTGTGGTGACCCCCAACCATAAAATTATGTTCGTTGCTACTTCATCACTGTAATTTTGCTACTGTTATGAATTAGGTGACCCCTGTGAAAGGGTCATTCCACCTCCCAAAGGGGTCGCAACCCACAGGTTGAGAACTGCTGGAGTAAACTGATAGTAATGTTGCCTGTTTAATAAAAGAGAAAACTGCTTATCAATTAGAATATAAACATGCACAGACAGTACAAGAAATCTAGTGTAAAAGACAAACCACAAATTTAGCATTTATAGCAAAACAGCATCAAAAGTGGTGGCGGTGGTTAGGTGCCGAGTTGGCTCCCACCCATAGCGACCCTGTAGACAACAGAATGAAGCACTTCACAGTCCTGTGCCGTCCTCACAATCGCTCCTCCGCCCTGAGCGCATTGATGCAGCCATGGTGTCAATCCCCTTCATTGAGGACCCCCCTCTTCTTCGCTGCCCCTCCGCTTTACTCAGCACAA